TTCGGGGGTTCGAACGAACCCCCTCTTCCCCCGAGCCCCCCCCCAAGCAACAAAATTTTTTTTTTTAATTTGCAAGAATTTCACCTCAGGTCGCTCCATTTTAGTGTAATAATTGCAAATCTCCATCGTGCGGGAGGGTGAACAGTGAACACCCCCCTCCGCACACCCTCCCCCCGCTGCGGCCGTCTTGGCTACCTCGCCTGGTGGCTTCGCGCCCGAGCAGGGCCTGTACAGGGAGGGTCCAGGGAGTCCGAACCCCCCCCTTGCTCGCTGCAGAAAACGCATAATTAAAAAATAAATTATGTGTGCGTGACTGCGTGTGCGTGTGCGCGTGCGCGTGTGTGTCTGTGTGCCTGCGTTCGTGCGTGCGTGCGTGCGTACGTGAGTGTGTTTGGGTGTATGGCGGGTGCGTAGGCCGTGTGCGTCGCGTGTTGGTAGGTGTCCTCCTTTAATGCTTTCATGTCTCGAATAAATCTGTTCAACTCTTGCCTTTTATAAACGCAACTGACAACACATGCATTTAGGACCTATACCTCATGTATATATACGGGTTTACGGAAATATTTTGGCACTTTTACGCGTAAGTTTATTACATATAAATTGTTATAGAACTATGTATAGTTTTTCAGTGTAATTTCCGTTTTCCGCGTGTCACAAAATTTCTTTTGTAAAAAGGTAATTATGAATGAGTGTGCGGCGTGCCTTGTAATTTCTTTGTAAAGGTATTTACACAAATAGTAAAAAGCATTTCTACAATAATATATATAGGTACCGGTATTAGAACATTTTAGTATGACTTGCATGGAAATATTTAGCTATTATAGCGTGGTCGTGGTGCCAGCACTGATCTATATATAGGATATAGTAAATTATATAAGATATATGAGATATCATATACATATATATAATTTATATATATATTTATTTATTTATTTATTTATTTATATATCTATATATAAGTTATATGTGGGTGCCACTGATCTTTTATTATACCCTATGATTATACTAAGTTAGTATAATCAAGAGTAGATAATAACACAGTGATGTTGTTATTATGTGTTATATCTTGGTATAATAGAGATCAGTGATTCAGTGGTGCGTGGCCAGTAGATTAACGACGTCTTGTGTTTGTTAAAGATGCTCACTTATTAAGCGACCCCACCGTATTTGTCAGTGATTTGTCTCCACCTGTATTGTTTTATTTATCTTGAGTTTATACCCACTTGCGTAAACTTTGGTAAAAAAATGCCATTCAAGCGTTTTATTATATTTAATAAGATTTCCATTACACAGTTTAGAAGCAGCAAAGTGTGAACATGGTGTGAAATACACTGTTCTCCTAGCGGTGACTCACTGAGGCACAGTGAGTGTAGTCTCACGGTGATTGTGATTTCGCCTATTCTTACTGCTTAGGTCACACGTAAAGTCAACTCAAGATTAACCGAACGTAAGGATAGGTCTAGTGGTTGAAAGTACTGTTCTCGGGAACCTTATATAAAGCACACTTATTTAATCCCAGCCGTGTAAAACTGCACAGCAACAGTTCAATAGCTAGGTGATGTTGTGGGCTGATTATAAACGCCAGTGGCTGGAGGTACGGTAGCCGTCGGCTCGTTCAGCCCCTTTTTTTCCGTTAAGGTTAGGGTTAGGATTAGGGTTAGGGTTATGGTTTAAGCGGTAGGTTTAGGGTTAGGATTAGGTTCTAGCTCAACTAAACTCTAAAATCGTGAATTTATTTCCCAAGGCGTTTATTTCGAAATCTAGCGCCACCACGCCATCTTTGTTTCGTTAAGTATGAAAGCGAATGGACTCCCGTACCCGTAGCCTCGAGACATTAAGATACGGCTACCGTAGCCACTGCCGATTAATAAGCCATACCGTAACTCCATAGTTTAGCTGCCACGGTCTATGTCTCTCTGGGCACAGGCCCTTGAAGCGTTTCAATAAAATAAAATGCTAAATAAATAGCCTACGAAATCTATTTACTACCAAATTCTTAATGTTTCTATACTCTCTTTAGACATTCACCTATTATTGCCGACAGTTTCCTGTAAATTTCGTCCAAATCCTATCTGCAACATAC